CACTTGCTCCGTTAGCGCCGGGCGGGAGCAGAGTCTGGCTACGCCCCCGCCTTTCGCTCACTGCAACCCTGGGACCATGCTCAGTCGCTTCCCTTTTCTTCCCCCGCGGAAATTTTAAGGAAATACACTACTTTTCAATGAAACGCCCCGCTTTTTTCATGTACCAGGGCTGTGCAATAAGTATAGAGTGCGAGTCACAAAGGCAGGTCACTTAGGAAATTACACGTTTTCTGGAAGCCACATGAAAGGAGTAAGAAGAAACAGGTGGAATGAATTTTAATGTATTTAACCCGCTATCTCCAAAATGGTATTTCAACATGAAATCAACGTAAAATATGAATGAGATGTTTCCTTTTTTTCATGCTAATCAAAATCCAATGTGTATTTTACACTTTCTGCAGGTCTCAGTTGTGATTAGGCATCTACGTGATCGATAGCTGCATGTGGCCAGTGGCTTCTGGGCTGCACAGAAAATTTCTATAGACATCATGTGTAAATTACTGTTTTTGTCAGGCCTGACAGTGCCAAAGTCAAGTAAGCATGAATATTTGTAATGAAAAGGAGGAAAAAAATCTATTTATTTACTCTTAGATTGCAACATCTCACCAAATTGAGTGTAGCCCTGTATTCTAAGCAGGGCTTAACGTTTCTCAATCTTGTCATCTTGAGAATCATTTTAATTTGGAACGAAAACTCATATTAACCTTTTTCTCTTCTTGCTAATACAGAAAACATTCACATCTTCACCTCAATGATTGAGAAAAATGGCCCTAATGAGGGCAATCGTGAGTAAATGATTTATGCTGTTGATGGTTAGCAAAATTAATGAAGTCAGGGAAGAAAGCTAGCAGCAAGTGTGGTTCCCTGGTGTGAGAAAGAATGTAGGATTCAAGGTAAGCCTGAGTATTAATATGCTTGTGTGATCTTGGGCAAGTTAGGGATTTAATGTCTCTGAGCCTCAGTTTCCTCTGCTATAAAATAAGCATGTTGTAGCATCAAGCATATATTAAAGGCAAGACAAGATTACAATATAAAAATTAGATGAGTTAATGCTCATAACATTAAAATCCATCCTTTAATGTAGCTGTCAGTCACTTTTTTTAAATCTTCATTGTTGAGATTATTATAAATGTCCTGTCTATTATTCTTTATTTTAGTCAATGTATGCTTAATTTCTGACTGGTCCTTTTCCATTTTTTTTTTTTTGAGGTTTCTAGAAGATTCTTATAACCGTGGTTTTGAACTCTATATCCAGTAGTTTGCTTTCTTCCATTTCTTTCATTTGTGACATGTTTCTTTGTCTCTGCATTTTGGCTGCTTCCCTCTGTCTGTTTCTATGTATTGAGTAGAGCTGCTATGTTTCCTTGAGTTGGTAGAGTGGCCTTGTGTAGTAGGTATTCTATAGGGCCCAGTGGCTCAACCTCTCCAGTCATCTGAGCTGGGAGCTCTAGGTGCATCCCTTTAGGGGCTGTGAACACAGTCTTGTTGTAGTTGAGCCTTGATTGTTGTTGGTGTTGGTGTCACTGGGAGGAATTGTCCTCCAGGCCAATTGGCTGTGAGGACCAGCTGCAACTACAGTGGTAGAGCTGCTATGCAGGAGACACCCCTATGGAGCAGGACTTGCTTCAGTGGGCTTTGGTGCTCATTGAGTCAGCCCCTTGAGTATGTCACTTATAGATGTGTAGAGTTGTAATCTGGTATGGTCTGACACTGACCACTGGGGTCTCCAGGAAGGTGCAAAGTCAGCCACTGCCTGGGGCCACCCAGCAGGAGCTCCAGAAAGATTTGCAGATTCCTCCTCTTTGTATCAGGTTTGGAAGTGCCCAGATGAGGCCCAGCTTTGAAGCAAGGCCGGCTGGTGCTGGGTCTTGGGCCTTTTATTGATCAGTTTGGGGCTCCCTTACCCAGCTGCAGCTTGTTTGAGAGATTTACCCTCAGCGAGGAAAGGCCATTCATATGCAAAAGCCACTGCACACAGCTTGGGAGGGATTGTAAATTGGATGAGGTGGGGTCTTAGGGAATCACCAGGGTGGAGCAAACAAATGGCTGTCAGTCAGCTCTGCGACCGGGGAGGTCCCAGCATAGAAACAGTGATCCCTGTGAGCTACCTCTGTCTAGGAGAAAGCTGACCCCAAGTTCCTGCCTTGATGCCAGACAATCCAGTTCCTCCTCATATGGGTCTGTGTCCCCCAACGCCTTGCCCTGGTGCTGGAGCTCAGAGGAAGCAGGACCTTGTAAGTTCAGTTTGTGGTGCCGGCCTTTTAAGAGAAACAGCCGGTTCTCCAGCAGCCTCTGTGTCACTGAGCCCCAATCTGCACTGGTTTTTATAGCCCGTAGTTATTACTGCCCGCAGAGACTTCTTTCCCCAGCTCTGGGCCCCTGGGCTGGGCTTCTGGTGTGGTGCTGGGAACCCTTGCTCCTCCGCAGAAATGATCTCCCTCCCAATTAAAAAAGCGGCCCATGTGGGTGCCGGACCATCCTGTTCCACACCCTGCACCTCCTACCAGCCTCAGTGTGCTTTCTTCTTTACTTCTCTAATTGTAGGACTTCCATTCAGCCAGCTTTCCAGTGGTTCTGGATGATGGTTGTTCTGTATTTTAGTTGTAGTTTTGATGTGGTTGTGGGAGGCAGTGATTACAGGCATTTACTTATGCTGCCATCTTCCAGTGGTTTCCTCCGTCAATCACTTCTTGCTGGACTTTAAAATATATGTATTTTATTGATTTCAGAGGGAGAAAGAGAAACATCCATGATGAGAATCATTGAGCAACCCATTCCTATATATCCCCTACTGGGGATTGAGCCCAAAACCCAGACATGTGGCCAGAGGGGGAATCCATCGAACTATGACCTCCTGGTTCATAGTTGCTCAACCACTGAGCCACACCTGCTGGGCTGGACTTTTTTATTATATAGGAAAGACCCACAAACTGTATGCTCATGTAAGGACAGAAAACTTGTCCCTTCTCCCCTTCTAGGTTGTTTGGCTAGTCTGATAACTAGTTGACTAACACAGATTAGCAAGAGAAAAACAAATTTAATTTTGTATGGACAGGAGCCTATAAAAATAGGAAACTCCCCGAAGTGACCAAAGGAGGCAGCTTTTATACCTTTTAGACAAGAAGACAATACACTTGTGAAGAATTGGCAAAATAAAGAGGTTTGGGCTTGAGGTAGCAGATTGGTGAGGACGTAATAATTCTTGCTTACGAAGCCTTCTCAACCTTAATTCCCTTTTTCTGGTGATAAGGATGCTTCGAACCTCTTGGTCCAGGGAGGGGACCTTCAGGTGGAGATTGATTTCCTGCTTTCAGGGGGCAAAGGAGGGTTAGAATGTCCTTCTACTGGCTGTTTCTTAAGTAAATTTAACTCAAAATAATCAATATGCCAAAGTGGTGTATTCTCTCTTCACTTGAAAACAGTTAGAGTGAGTTATGCTGCATGCTCCAAGGAAGTAATGCCTCAATTCTGTCCAGGCTTTTGTTTGCACTCATCACCCCTTTGTTCCCTTAAAACTTTTGTGATAGCACCTTTTGTCGACCTGAGATTTAAAAAAATATATATATATTATTGATTTTTTACAGAGAGGAAGGGAGAGGGATAGAGGGTTGGAAACATCGATGAGAGAGAAACATTGACAGCTGCCTCCTGCACACCCCCTACTGGGGATGTGCCCGCAACCAAGGTTGCGGGTCTTGACCGGAATCGAACCTGGGACCCTTCACTCCGCAGCCCGACGCTCTATCCACTGGGCCAAACCGGTCAGGGCTCCACCTGAGATTTTTATCTCCATCTTTACAGGCTCATTTTGTTGATAAGTTAGGTGATTAAGATGTTATTCTTTTTATTCTGATGTAACTGTT